GTCTTCTTAGAATGTATCCTGCTTCATTTTGTTGTTATCCATAGAAATGTAAATTTGCGATTTTAATCGACTATAGTAATGTAAGTAGTTAAATGATACACAAAATCGAACAAAAAGCTAGAAAATAAGAAATAAATATATATTCAAAATGTTAATTACGTTACACTTTTATTATTAGCACCTCTTTTTATTTAATTTTTTCTGATGTTTAATATCGTTATTACAAATCAAACTAACCAAGACTCCTTATAAATCAAAGAACTGGAAAGGATACGGGCAGTAGGAGTCAAGTGCAGAAGACATCGCGCAAATAATATATCTATGAAGAGTGAAACTTCTTTATTCATTAAAACGCGCTTACATGTTCGACTCACTTTTGAGCCTTCCTCAGAGACAACACAAACATAAATAAACTGTGAATAAAAATTATCCTATTATGGTGAGCTCCTCTATCTCGAGAATTTAAATACCAGAATTAAACCCAAAAAGAGTAAAAGAAAAAGAAAAAAGAAAAATGAACGAAAAAAAGGAAATAATGGAAATATCGAAATAGAGAAATATGAAAAAATAATTTATCAAAAATCTTAAGATTAAATATCCCGAAAATAAGGACGCTCACCCTGATCACAAATCACAAATTATATCGCAAACATTATTATGAATTATTAAAAAACCGGTTCTCGATATTTTGACCAATCAATATCAGACACAGTGAGTCACTTTATTTTTTAGCTAGTATTATTGAAGCTTACAAATAAAAAATTTTACATTGAAATGTTAATCAATCGTTTGTTTTTCTTTCACTCTTTTTGGGTTTAATTCTGATATTTAAATTCTCGAAGTAGGGGAACTCACTATGATAGGATAATTTTTATTCACAGTTTATTTATATTAGTTTGTGTTGTTTGAGGAGGACTCAAAAGTGAGCCGAAACATATAAGCGCATTCTAATGAATAAAGAAGTTTCACACTTCAGATATATTATTTGCTCGACGTCTTCTGCGCTTGACTCCTACTGCCTGTATCCTTTCTAGTTCTTTAATATCGTTATATTATTTCCAAATTTATAACAATAATGATTATTTATTTCTTTTTTACAAAAGAGTATTTATTTGTTATTATTTTATTTATCTATCATATTATACGAAAGAGGTAAATTTAATATTTTGTGCAATCTTAGCTCACACAACACAGGAGCGTCCCGTTTGAAGAATGCCCATTTAGTGTTCATTTCATGTCCTGATTATGTCCATGAGGAAAAGACGCCCAAAGGACAATCTTTAGGTATCCATTATCCAGATTTGGAACGAACTATATATACAATAGGCATTCTTTGGATGGACGTCCACATCACAGTTACGGCACGACATCGACCCAAGCGAGATTAGATTTTTACTCAATGTCATGACAATAATTTTAATGTAAATTGTTTAATTTTTATTATATTTATTAAATTACATTATTTTGTTATTATATTTAAATAATTATGCGCGCTTTATAATATAAATAGACAGTAAGTAACACATTCATCAATTGAAGAAATCATGTAGCACGTAACGTAGAAAACTTGTAATCCAGAGGTCCTAGACTCAATCTCACTAAGGTAAGTATGTCTTTAAATTAATTTAAATAAATTATAAAAAATCATTCTAGTATCAGGCTGTTCCTCGCCCTGATTAAGTGAACTGCAATGTTGATGAAACGTTGGCATTCTAAGAATGAATTTAGACATGGAGATAATCCGCAAAACGCATAATTTCTGTATAAAAATTCATTCTCATTTAAGATTGAGTCACTCATAGTGACTCACATAGTGATGCTAAATCTAATATTTAAATATTTATTTTTTATTTTTAACTCGCGGAGACAATTTCATCGCGAAAAGCAAGAGCTGTGACAGCTTTTTGATGACCTTGATATTCTCGTTCTACTGTTCCTGTAGATGCATTCCACAATCTTGCAACTCCATCTGAAGAAGCTGTAATATATAAAATAAAGTAAAAGTATACTAGATATTTATAAAACTTTGATTACAAATTTTTGAACAAATTATGAATCGGAATATTTATTACAAATTACATAAGTATACATATATTTACGTGCAAATTCTTATTATTAAGGAAAGAGAATGTTTAAAAAGAAGAGATACTCACCAGTAAATACATATTGAGAATCTGCACTGAATGCTGCATCCCAAACCCAACGCTTTTCCTCATGTTGAAGTACTTGTACTTCGGAAAAATCTGTTGTTCTCCATACTCGCGCAGTTTCATCAGCCGATGTTGTTACCAACGATCTTAATAAATTAATTCGAATATAAAGCTATATTCAATAAAGGGTATAAAAAATTGTTGAAGATAGCATGTTATTATTTCTTTGTTAACATTTTATAATAAACATTTTCGTGGAGGGCTCGATTACACCTATGAATAGACTTATAATGTAAAAAAATGATATAACATTGTGCATAATGGCGATAGCAATATATTGAAAACAATCTATCAAATTTGATATAAATGTATTTTCTTGCGTATAATATTGCTCATATAGTGAAACAGCCAATTTGACTAGAAATTTACTCTGCTACTGCATATTCATGGGAATGGTACACCTTACTTTTTATATCACGGCGGTAAGCCGTGTTATTCGGTGATCTTTAAAAGTTAATATCTCATTAATTATTGCGAAAATTAATTATTGCAAAATGATAGGCAACTTTTTGACTCAGTTTAATTCGCTCACGAAAAGTAATCCCGTTATTCCAGGACACCCTGTACTCTTATATAACATGTACATAAATAAATCCTTAAAAATAATTTAAAAAATTTCTATCATAAAAATAAGGAAATACTCACGTAGAATCAGGACTAAATTTGCAGCGAAGGGCATAACGTTTATGAGCTAAAAGTTTATGACGAGGATTAAGTTTTGTAGGTTCCTCTCCTATGCCTCCTGAAAGCGTCCAAATATAGCAGTGTCCTTTATTATTTACTGCCGCCATATAAGTGCCATCTTGATCTATTGTAATATCCTGAATCGAAGATTCAGCTTCAGGAATCTATAATAAAAAATATGTAAATAATAAATTATATACATGGTATCCGGTTTTTTGACAAAGCGCTTGTGTGCAAGTAGCGCGGACTAAATTGAGTCAAAAGTCTCCTATATACAGTTTGTGCTATTTTCGTAATAATTTACGAGATTAATTACTAAAGATTGCCAAACAAGTATGTATCATCCACTCGGCTTATCGGTCGTGATTGCTAAATACATGTGGAATTATTTACTACAAATGGCAATAGTTACGCACGAGCGTAAAAGAAACAACTCCCCGTGTTGAGTAGTCATATTTATACTAGCTGCTATGTGCTTATACTTGACATTGGCAATAGTTGGAACAGATATGTGCTTGGCAATTTCGAGATATAGAACTTTCGATTTAGTTTAATCCACTCTACCTGCATGAGCACTTTGTTAAAACTTGCCGGACACGTTGTACATTATTTATATAAATGTTTTAATATAGATATATAATAGAAAGTAATATCCTTGTAATTCCTCGCAAATTTAGTTTCTAAACATATATATGTAAAATTTTCAACTAAGTAAGAAGTGCTACTAAAAGTTAGATGTTGGAATAATAATCCTATATATGTAATTTATTTAAAATACATTTTATTTCAGCTGATTGTACGCCGATTGCTTACGCAGAACTTCTTTCTATACATATTAGTTATAACAAATATTATCACATGTGGTATTTCGGTTGAATTGGATGGACGTCTGCATTGCAGGGAGTCCTCAGCGTAAGTAATCGGTGCGCAATTAGAAGTGCGCAATTTGAAGTCAAATCTTCCCTTGGGGTGATCACGTGAAGTAAAATATATTTAAAATAAATTTCATGTTGAGTTATTACTATAATATCTAACTTTAATCGTAATGGTGCTTCTTAGTTGATTTATTCATATAGGAAGTTTTCCAACAAGCAGACACTGTGTAACACAGTAATCACTTCATCTTTGTTTAACATTGGCAGAAAACAAGGATAAGATAAATGATTCACTGTATTGGAAAGCTCCCATAATCTCGTTTCTGACTTATTGTAAAATTTTCAGATATAAAAAAATAACATACTAATTGTTCATTATGATCAGAACGAAGATCCCATAAATGTATGACTCCACTTTGATCGCCAACAATTAGTTCTGCTTGATTGGGGTGTAAACATACACAATTTACAGGTGCAGAAACTTGAAATATTCTTTGGCATTGAAAGCTGCTAGATCTATCATTAAATTTATATTATTGAAAATAGAATAAAAAATATAAACCATTCTTGTGTGTGTGTGTGTATGTTTCTGTATAAAATTTACCTCAAATCCCATACTCTTGCAGAACAATCTTCTCCTCCTGTATACATCCACTTTCCTTCCTCCTATTTGTAAGAAATATTTCCTTTTGAAAAGTGAAAATGAGGAACAACTTTCAGTGGTCTTGACCTTGATAAGTTATTATCAAGGTCATGACCCTGAACAATATTCAAGAAGTTCTAGCCATCGGTCAGACATCTTGAATAACATTAATGCCAGCAATACCAAACCTTTGTCAACCCATATCTCAAAAAATATTTAATCAAAAGAAGTTTCATTCGTGTGTTTTAAAAAGATCTTAATGTTAAATATACAAAAACACATTAAATAAAAAGCGAGTTTTTATTAAAAATGTTGGACTTAATTTTGAGAGCTTTTCCATACTTGCGTTCAAAGTCAAATGCAGAGTTTCATCATTTGATGCATTTATTCAAACCTTTCAATTTTTGTATGAAATATTTGTGCGTGCGCGCGCGCTCGTGTATACGAGAGAAAGAGCTGTTGCACACATCGATAATTGACTAATTTAGAGCCGGTTGTTCTGTCCTCGTATTAAATAAACTATATTATAATTTATTTAATGGATAGACAAAAGAGTAAAAGAGTAAGAACATAAAAAAATAAGAAAATTGGAGTGAGCTGAAGTTTATTTAAAAATGGAACAATCCAGAGAACATGCATGTCTGAAAGAATATCCAAAAAACGTCTTGAACTAGATGTCTTTAAGACGTTTTTCAAACATTTTCAAAAGATATCAGAAAATTCAAGTTTTAAAACATGTGTAACAATTTACATTATTGACTACAAATTTTATTTATATATTTCTAATACATTTCTATAACATATTTATATAATAAATATATACAATATATTATTTTTTATTTATATAATATCAAGTGTATGACATGGTCAATTTGAATAAGATATATTATATGTAACCTATAAAAATATTGGATGACATTTAATCTGGCATTCTAATATCTTGTATTATGTTGTAGTTCTACAACTATACTATTATACAAAGCTATCTGTAAACATGTTGACATAAGGAAGAATGCAAAGCAGCAGATGAAATTAAGTGGTAAATTAGTATATGAATGATACTGGTATATAAATCATACTTAATACAAATTTTTAATAACGATCTATCTGTCACAATTATAGCAACAATTTATTAGAGACATAAGCAATTATAGGCTTGCATGATTTTTGTGAGACATGCTTGATTATCTGGGACTCTGTATAAAAGTAAGTACATTTGTAAAATATGAAAAATTATTCTATATATAAAAAAATATATAATATAATCAGAAAACCTGAAAACCTAAACTGGTAATATTTTTTGATACTCCTTCATAGTTGATAACTGGATTAGGATTATTTGAAGCTAGATCATACATTCGTATATGCTGATATCCAGCAGCAGCTACAACATATTTGTCTGGTGTGATATCCAATGCGTTAACTTGCTGTAAATCTTGTTAAAGATACTAACAAATTCGCATTGAAAAAGCTTTAAAAAATTTCTTATTAATAACTAAAATATGTAAAATTTTAAAAAATTTCTCTATTATAAGCGCAATATAAAATTATAATTGCTATTTTATTTTATTCTACAATAAATGTAAGACTTGTTTTAATAATATATTTACTGAATATAATTTAATAGAACAAAAACTGTACAATATATGCAAAATATTTTTTCGTTTACACATGTAGTAAAGGATACAGAATCCGTATGTTGACAAGTACGTTGACAGACGCCTGTGTGCGGTTGCCATATTTTGATAGTATGATCATAACCTCCCGTAACAAAAATCACTTGTTCATTGCTAATTGCACAATCAGCAGTCATTCTCAATTTACTTCAATTTATTTATATCACAAATTTAAAAAAATTAAAACTGGTAATATAATTATTCAGATTAGCTACACCAAACAAAATATCAATAAAATTATACTTATATATCTTCATCACAGACATAGTCAAGAAAGAGGTTCGTGGTCCCTCTAAAAATTTTCGTCCACTAGCGACACCAACATCAATTTTACAGAATGATGCAAACTACGTATCACATTATCGACACTGCTGATAAAGTCGTAGCGGCGAAAAATTGATGGTGCCTCATTATTTAAATAAAAAATTGATGTTAAGCGTAAGTCCGGCTATGTACATCCACAAATTGCAATATAAAGAAAATATATATACAATATATTTTACATATATATTTATAATCACGTAATTTTTCTTTCGCTACAACTTGAGTATATTAATTAATATTGACATTGATTATATATGGCTTTTTGCAGTATTATTGAAATAAAGTATTCTTAATAATATATAATTGATTTTTATTTTAGCAAAATATTACAGGCATCCATTCTTATATTTATATATACATATAAAATATTATATGTATTGTATATTATCTTTATATTGCAATTTATGAAAATAAATCGCTGAAATAACTAAAATCTAAATTAATAGATTCCGTTTTATTTTAAGAATGTTTTAAAGAATGTCTTAAAATACTAATACGACTCTCTAATTATGGCTTATGACATCTTAAGCTAGTCTCAAATATAAAAATCAAATACTATAAATACCGGATTTTATCTACGTGCCACAAAAGTGATACGTAATTTCCGAAAATGGTTATTGGTTTACGCATTATGCGTTATACTCGTATAGATAAAAAAAATTATCCAATCAAAGTCTTGCATTTCTTTTCCTTCTATACAATAAAAGACTCAGATTGATTTTATTTTGCTTTATGCATTATACGAAAATCTGTGCTCTGGCTTATAGTTTCTTTTTGTTGATACGCACGCGTATATACAGTAAATAAACAAAAAAACATTATCATTTGAAATTTGTAATTACATTCAGAATCTGATTTCATTGTTACTATGTATAATGATTTAGACATAATATGAGAAACTGTCTCCTATAAAACTCATTCTGTAAGAAATATTTGGTATACTTTTCATCTTTCATTTTATTTCTTCATCCATTTAAGATAATCCATACAGAATTCATAATTACAAGATAGTCTTTAAAATATATTCTGTATTTTTATGGATTTCTATAGCATTCTTAACAACATAATACTCATAAATTTAACTTTCTTCCTGCTCTCTCATTCAATCATATATATGTAAAATGAAAATATTATGCGAATAAATTATGATACATTTTCATTTTTCATAAATGTTATTAGAGTAGGACTTCTATACACAAGATATGGAAACGCTTACTATACGGTAGTAAGTAACACGTCAAGTATTTCCACATACTATGTACAGCAGCTGTAAGACTAGACATTCAAGGAAAAATTAAAATGAGAAAAATTATTAAGAATATGAAGGTTTAACTGCAGATAATCTAAGCTTATATTAGCGCAAAAAAGGTCTAACAATTTTATAATTGCTTGTATTTTTGAATAATTGAAACATTATATCATTTTCAACCTACTGAGGGCACACACGACAAGTATGAGTGTAGCATTGTATGGAGTTTACAACAGAGAATCACTGAATCTCACAGATTAGGTAACGTGTCCACTTCACCCATTTCTGTAACTGTTTCATCGTCCATTGTGTAGCTTAACATACACTTCAAAGATACAGGCTCCTGAAAGAAATAATCAATTTTCCACATAAAAAGAAATATTAATTATAAACTTATAAAATCAATATCTTCTTTGCACTGCTTTCTCATTACTTCACATTTACTATATATATGCATAAAGTGAAAATGTTTTTGTATATTATTTTAGTTATAACTTATACAAAAACATTTTCACTTTATGCATATACGATATGCACGCATGCACATATATGAATATACGCACGTGCGCAAAGTAATTTTAAATATCTCACGTTTTACAAATATTTTATAAATGTATACAAGTGTGTATATAATGTCTTTGTTCTAACGCACCATCTGCTAATGACAGATTCTTGAAGTCATTTAAACGAAAATTCTAATATCAAAATATTAAGGCTACGATAGTTTTCAAATGGTATGTGTTTAAAGATTTTCAATCAGGTCCAATATTCCCGCGCTTAAATCCATTACACAGTGAAGGACCCTGGACATTGATGTTAAATATTATGTATTTTGCGTACTGCACACGTTTTCTACGCGTGTTGCACGTGTATCATTTTACAAAAGTGTAGAATTTGCTATAAAATTATGCACCAAGATTAATGTTTTGTACTCTCTTGCCTAGGGGTGTACGACTTTCCATGCAAAGTGAATTCCACCCCTTCCCTTTTTAGGAGCATCTAACTTTCCACGCGAAGCGAATTCCATCCCACCTCTTTCCTTTTAAGAGCTGTCTACCTCACCTCCTCCCCTACCTAGAAGTGTCTGACTTTCTATGTAAAGGAATGTCCCTACACTCTCTACTTGCGGCACGACAACTATGCTCATACGTATGGTACTATACGATTACAATCTGCGTAATATGGAAATACAAAATGATACTTGCATCGATTTAATCCATTAGTTGATTTCAATAAGAAAGGTAAACATAGCTTATCTTCAGTACGTACCGTATAAAAGCTCATAGTCTATATGATATATAGAATATCAGAAAATTATATAATATTTATGATACTTTTTCTGTTAATAACTTTTTAAAGAATTAAGAGTGACAGCTAAAATTTGTTCAAGATTATTCAAAGTCATGACCTTGACAACATATGTCAAGGTCATTTGAGAATAATCTCTTATTTATTAGCTGCATATTTACCAAAGTTACCGTTATGTTATACATATTAATAATATAGTATTAATAATATTAACTAATTTTTGAATGTTTTTCATTTCAAATAATTGAACTATTAATTTAGTGTTAAAAAGAATAATTATTATATAATTATATTACCTTGAGAGGATTTGCAATCAGCATAATCTGTGTGATTGCGGATGGAGGGAGGAATGGATTATGCGGTGGCAGCTTTGTTCCAGAAGGTGCCTGCAGTCTACATTTGCATTTCTATGTATAATTATACAAAATCAAAGTTAAAAATATTTATTTAATTAAATGATTTAAAATTTCTCTAAAAATATTCATAATCCTTAAATATTAAGATTTTTGAAACTTTGGGATTCTACCATCTTCTGTTAAATCTTTTTTATGTATTGAACTTAAATTCAAAATTCTTTAAGATTTTATAGAATCTCGTATTTTTATATCCATCGATTTTATATCCGTCGATTTTTATTACCATTAACAGTTATAAGCAATTTGATAACAATAGTTGCTCTTTTATAACCAATCGTACAATGGATTATTGAAAATCATAGAAAACAGTTTCTACCTAAAATCTTGAGTTGCCAATAATCTGTGGTGGTATTTCAAAGAAAACCATTGTCATAAAAAAAAGATTTATTCGGTACGATTTTGGTACGAGATAGACTGTATATTTCATTTACTTAACGATAAATATTTCAAAAAATGTATTATACTTTTATCTTGGAGTCTTTGATTCCTCTTAAAAAATTATTTTATTAGAACACAAAAATCTTTCAATGTTCTTTAATCCTATTCTATGTTGTTTTTTAAATTTGAAAAATTAAACTCGCTGCGTCTCTCTAGTGGCAGTGCCACAGACTGCTCGACAACGCACCATTTTCATTCAATTGACAGAAATAAACTATATATTTTATGGTTTTTCCAACAGATTATGGCAACTTTTATAGCAATAAGTATGCTAGAGCATTTCCGCACGTTTATGCAAACAACCCTTGTTCGCAAAAAGCCTTTAGATTGCTTTAAACGAAATTACTATTTTGGTAACAACATGATAACAACTGAAGGGAAACTTGTGCTAAGCACTTATTTCCTTTCTTATTATGCAAGTATATTAAGAAAGTGTTAAGTTATATCGAAAATTCATGTACTTTATATGAGAAATTTAGAAAATTTTAAATCTTCACAATACTTACCTTAGGCACAACCGCTTGAAATAAATAATTACTAAGTGGCTTTGTGTTTTTACTCATTGTAGTAATTACTATTACAGATACATCTGATCTAGGGCTATCCTGAGCAAAATGAAGCACCACACTTATGCCATTTCTTTCCTCAATTACTGTTATAGGTGGATTTGTCCCTGTAAAGTAATTAGCATTATTTTTTTTAATTATATGCACATGCACACGCGCACACATGCACGCGTGCATGTATACACGGTGACCTAAAACAAAACACAGAAATATGTTGA